GCCATACTGCTTTCCACAATGGTTGTACCATTTTACAGTCCCACCAGCAGTGTATGAGAGTCCCAATCTCTCCACAACCTCGCAAGCATTTGTTATTTTCTGTCTTGTTGAACTTTGATACTAGAGTGCACAGTATATTTTGCATAGACTTTCAGGGGCGTCACCACCCTCAGGCTTCAGTGGACTTCCTGGGGGCCCTTGGACCCCAGATCAAGAACTCCAGTTACTTTCAGCCTTGACACACAGCTGCTGGCCTCTTGTCCCCAAATCTGCCCCTTTCGTGAGCAGTTGACAAAATTTACCAAGTGTCACACTCACAAGGGCGTGGGCCAGATACTTCAGGGAAGGCATGAAGCTGCTTAAAGAATTATTAGCCCCTGGGGCTCCCCTCCAGTTCACAGTGGAGCTGGGAGACAGACAGGAGGACATGCAAAGATAGGTAACTAGCCAACCGAAGCAGCAGAACATTTATCTGAAAGAGAGTTTCAGACCGTGACTGTTACAGGGAGAAGATGTCGTGATATCAGGAGTCCCTTTCCTGCAAACAAAGCCTTCTGTTTGCCCAAAGCAGTGTAGAGCAGTCATAAGAGCTTGGGCTTGGGAGCTGGACTGCCCTGGATTTATTCCTAGCTCTGCCACTTCACCATATGACTTGGGCTCATTACTTCACCTTGAACCTTCAGGTTCCTTATCTGTAAAATGGGGTTAAGAGTGATGAAGCAGGCAATCCTACTTCCGTAGTGATACTGCCTCGGAAACCCAAGGAGGGGTCGCTATGAGTCGGGGCCGACTCGACGGCAAATAACAACAACAACAACAAATATTCCAAGACTCCTTTGAATTTCCCAGTCTCCCTTGCAAATGGTTGAGATCATGTGACTAGTTCTGACCAGTGGTCTGTGAGTAGAAGAGGTATGTGTCACACAGGGCCAAGGCATTTAAGTGCCTATGAGCTTCCTTCATTTTCTCTCTTTCATCTTCCATAGGCAGCCAGCTTCCAGGAGGCATGGTTATGAGATGGAAGAGGGTCTCTTGCCCCCAGTCAGGCTTTTCAAGAGTGGTAATGAAAACATTACCATGACAAGCCACTGACATTTCAAGTGTTATCTATTCTGGTGCCTAGGGTTAATTACACTGACTAATGTTGTTGTTGTCATTTGCCATCAAGTCAACCCAACTCATAGCTACCCCTCCTTGGGTTTCTGAGGCAGTATCACTATGGAAGTAGATTGCCCAACCTTCCTTCCAAGGAGTGGCTGGTGGGTTTGAACCTCCAGCCTTCTGGTTAGCAGTCAAGTGCCTTAGGCACTACATTACCAAGCTCCTACAAAACCCAAACTCATTACCATCAAGTTGATTTTGACTCATGGCAACCCCATGTATGACAGAGTAGAAATGCCCCACAGGGTTTTCTTGCCTGTAATCTTTACAGAAGCAGATCACCAGGCCTTTCTTCTGTGGCACTGCTAGGTGGGTTTGAACCACCAACCTTTTGATTAATAGTCAAGTAATCAAATGCAACCAGCTCTGGTGGTGCAGTGCCTAAGGTATTTGCCTGCTAACCAGTAGGTTGGTGGGTCAAATCCACCAGCCCCTCCGTTGAAGGAAGATGGGGCAATCTACTTCCATAAAGATTTACCACCTAGTAAACCCAATGGGGGTTGAATTGTGTCAGAATCTACTCGATGGCATTAAGCTTGTTTTTTTTTTTTTTTGTTAGTCAAGTGCAAACCGTTTACACCACCCAAAACCAAAAACTTACTGCTGTGGAGTCAGTTGGGTTTCCGAGGCAGTATTTCTATGGAAGTTATCTGCCAACCTTCTGGTTAGCAGTCAAATGTCTTATACACTACACCACCAGAACTCCTCCCAGAGACCTCTAATACAGGAAGGGTTAATTGAAACAATGGACAAAAGGCCCTTGGAGTATAGTGGGGGCTGTTATTCTTGAAAAGACCTAAGATGGGTCACTTAGATCTTTTTTTTTTTTCAATCACTTTAATTGAGTTATAATTTACATACAATAAAATGCACCCATTTTTAATGTACAATTAGATGAGCTTCATCCTCATCCTTAATCCCCACCCTGGGAATATTTCATTTCTGCCTTGGGAAAAGTCCTTCTGCACACTTATTTGTACTTCAATTTTCTCACCCTCTGTAGGGCTTTTGGAAACAAGTCAGAATTTTTTCAAGCTTATCTGCTTTCTGTGATGTTATGTCCGTCCCCTAACACTGAACACAGTGGTATCTCCTTGAATTTTGAGCAGTGGAGAAAGAAAAGGAAAAATACAAGGATGAAAAATCATACTGACTATCTCAAAATACTATCCTAGTACAATTTTTTTTGTTATTGTTGTTGTTCTTATTTTTATTATTTATTTATCTTTTTTTTTATTGTGATTTGGGTGAAAGGTTACAGAGTAAATTCACTTTCCATACAGCAGTTCACATACACTTTGTCTCATGACATTGACTGCAATTTCCCACAATGCAATAGTTCCCCTCCCACTTCATCCGCATAGTTACCTTTTCCCTGTGTCCTTCCCTCCCATGCACAGCTGTCTCCCTGAGCTGTCTCCCTGTGCATAAACAGCCCTTCTTTCTCCCATGATTGTAGATCTTTTCTTGAGAATGAATTTTTAAAAGCAGAGACAGGTAAAGTGGGGGAAAGTGAGACAGGCTTCATTTAGAGAGAAATCTTGAGGAATTCCACTGATTGCTGTAGCAGGTCTCCTTTAACATCCTTCTCCTCCCTAAGTTTTCCAGCTCCTGCAGTGCCATTTTCCCCCTACACCTTGACTTTCATACAGTTTATAGAATCATTAGGAAGAGGTCTAGGTCTTAGAAGCCATCTTATCCTACCTCCTGATTATTACAGATGAGGAGGCATGGCTTGGGGAGGGTATGAGAAGCAGGGGTTAGAGGAGGGCTGAGTTTCCCAAAAGATGACGAGGGAAAGCAGGGGAGAGCTTGATGCAACCAAACAGCAGCGTCAGAGGAAGTGAGTCAGATACCAAGAAGGTAGCTATTTTCATTTCAGCAGATAAGTACGTTTTGTGTAATTTTTTTAAAATAAAGTTTTAGTTTCCAGTTTAAAGCTTTTCTTTGGAAAAGCACTTAGAGCCCCTCCAGTCTACCATCCAAGGCTCAAACATACTCCAACCAGGGTCTCACGTGAGCACCTTTCCCCTCTCCATCCCCTCCCGAGGCTTGGAGAGTCTCCTCATGGAGTTTGTAAGTGCTTGTGCCTTGGATCTTACTTCTGCTCCAGAACCAGGGAGGTGCAAAGCTATCCCGGTCGGGGGCGGGTCGTCTGTGATCCATCAACTCCCTCGCCCTCCACCCCTAGGGGCGGAGGGTCGGGTGGCCAAGGAAAGCAGTTCATCTCGCAGCAGCCTCGCAGAAGCCTCCCTTGATCTCTGCCGCTCAGACCCATGGCTACGGCCTTCGCCCTCCTCGCGGGGGTTCTGCTCCCCTGCTGGGGCGAGCTCCCACGGATTGGAGGTAGGTTAATGAAGGTGAGTTAAAATGGCGTTTCCGGGAACCTTAAGCTGTAATGCGAGGTGGAAAGGTGATTAAGAGGCATCGCAGTTGAACCAGAAGGATTTGGAGGGAAGAGTGGGGCAGGAACCACGAGAAATAAATTGGAGATTTGTTCCCAGAAAGTTTTGGGATTTCTCAAACTGATTTCAAAGCCCTACTTCATCTTTCCCCGGTGGCCCTGGAGGTGAAAGTGCCCTTATGAGCTGCAGTTCTCCTGTCCCTCACACTATCCTGACACACACTCCTCCCACCCAGTGCCGCCCTTTGACCTTAGGTCAACTTACTGTCCTGGAAGTCCCCCCACCAAACCCTCCCTACCTGCTCTAGTTTCCTCCCTTTTCCCCCTGGCTGTCGGTCCTGTAGTCACATTGGCACTTTCTTCTCTTCCTCCCTCTCTCTCTCTCTCTCCCTCCCTCCCTTTCTGTCCATCCCCCTACTTAAGTGTGATTTGGTAGTATTTGTTCCTCGTCCAACCCACCCACTGGCTCCATGGCTGAAAGACCTGGTGACCTGTTCTCAAAAAGATACCATACCAAAAAAATCCCAAACTCACTGCCATTGAGTCGGATCCGACACCTTGTTGGGTTTCCAAGGCGGTATGTCTACGAAAGTAGATTGCCCAACCTTCCTTCTGAGGAGTGGCTGGTGGATTTGAACCACCAGCCTTCTAGTTAGCAGTCAAATGCCTTAGGCACTACATCACCAGAGCTCCCAGCCTAGAAAACCCTACAGGGCAATTCTACTCTGTTACATTGAGTAGCTAGCCTCCATGGCACCTAACAAGAACAGCAAAGCCCCCTCCCCCAACACAAGATACCTTCTGAGCCTCACAGAGGTGAGGGGGCCCTCAGGTAGGCAGAGGCAGAGGAAAAGAGCTATGCCCCTTCCCTCTCCCCTGCTCCCCTGAATCCTGGGGTATGTGTGCACGTGGGGTGTGTGTGTGTGTGTGTTCAAGGGGTGATGAAGCTGGGGGTAACCCTTTCATGGCTTTCCATCCTGGACCCTCAGGGCCCACTGGCAATGCCAGGAACCAACCCCTACACCCCCTATGCACACACGCAGCCAGAGAGCTGATGACGCAGGGACTATCCCCAGCCTGGAAGAGACCCTTCCTGTCCCCACAGATCAATGGGGCCAAGTGCTTCCACCACTCTGACTGCCACAGTGACTGCTGCCTTATCAACTTGGACAATGGTGGTGCCTTCTGTGCACCCAAGGCTGGGTATACCATGCCATGCTTGCCCCAGGTGAGGCTCTGGGGTGGGGCAGCCCCTTCTGGCACATAGGCTGGGAGAAGTAAAAGAGGATCCAAAGCCCCAACTGCTTTTGCCTATTCCCTCTGCCTAGAATGCCCTTCCCCCTTCTCCACCTGGCAAACCCTGCCAAACTCAGTTCTAGCACCTCCTCAGAGCTCCTACACTCTTGGCTCATAACTTCAACCATGGCCTCTGTTTGCCTCCCCTCATGGTTGGAGATTTTCAAGGGCAGCGATGGTATCTTACTCAACTTTGAATCCCCTGCCCCCAGACTGGTGTCTGCACACAGTAGATGCTCAACAAATGTCTGTTCAATGAGTGAATATTTCCATTCTAACATCACTAGAGCAAGGTAAGTAGAAAAAGCATTTCTTCTCACTGCCAATCCCTACCACTCTGCCACAAGGACCTACTTTCTCCTTAAGAGAAATGCACTGAGGTGGCAGGATCATAGCTTGGGAGTTGGACCTCAGTTAAATCCTGCCTTTGCCACCCCTGTCTGTGTGATTTCAAACAGGTCATTTCCATTCTCTGAGCTTTAGTTTTTTCATCTGTAAAATGGGACTAACATACCTACATCATCAAGTTGCTCCTGATGATAAGCAGTGCTCAATCAAGCATGGTTGTTGTCAGCTGTTTAAATGCAGGGAGCAGAAGACGAAGACACAGTATGTCTTGTTCCTCTTGGCTCTCTCTCATCTAGCCCTGGGCCCAAACTTTACTAGGGAAAATGACCCTCACCTCCATGTCCCTGCCTGGGGAGTTGGCAGTGCCCTCAGCAACCAGCCTGAAGTGGTCATAATAATAATTTTTTTAAAAAAAAACCTTTGCCATCAAGTCAATTCTGACTCATCATGACCCTACAGGGCAGAGTGGAACTACCTCAGAGGATTTTTAAGGCTGTGGGAACTCTGGTGGCATAGTGCCTAAGGCATTTGACTGCTAACCAGAAGGCTGGCAGTTCAAACCCACCAGCCACTCCTCGGAAGGAAGGTTGGGCAATCTACTTCCATAGTGATACTGCCTCAGAAACCCAAGGAGGGGTCACTATGAGTAGGATCCCACTTGATGGCAAGTGAGTTTGCTTGTTTCGTTGAATCTTTATGGAATTAGACTGCCACATCTTTTCTTCCATGGGGCAGCTGGTGGGTTCAAACCCCCAATCTTTCAGTTTGCAGGTGAGTGTTTAACCACTGCCCCACCAAGGTATTTTTATTGTGGGCTTTTGATCTACTTTATCTCATCTAATCCTGGCAAAAACTCTGTGAGGTGAGTACTGTAATTGTCTCCATTTGACAGATGAGAAAACTGAGCCAGAAAAACTAATTAACTTGCCCAGGACCATGCAATTATAAGCTGTCGAGCCAGAATTAGACCCCAGATCTGTCTCACTCCCGCTCTTGTGCTCTTGTTCAAGAAGTTTAAGGCCCTTTCTTCCCTGCACCTTGCTGACTCTCAACTCTCATACCTCCTCCCTGCAGACCAAGGGAACCACCAACATCCTCTGTCCCTGCCGACAGGGCTTGATTTGCATAGCCAAGGACTTGCTGTGTCCCCGCCGGTGCCATGTGCTTTAGAGAGGACCCAGGCTGGGCACCATCACCCCTCCTTCTGTCCCTTGGAACCAGAGGCTTTGGGTGCCCCTACCCTGGTCTGTACCAGTTCCTGGGCCATTAAAGTCATTTCCAGTCTCTGCTCTTTGTCTGCATTTTCTGGGAGAGGGGCCCTGGTGGGGATCAGTCACAGTTTGGGAGCAGGAGAAAGAGGAGACTGGAGACAGGGAGACATGAAAGAGCTTGGCACTGTCTGGAAGCCAGGGAACAAGGCAGGGGGACTGTGGGTGTGGAGAAGCTGCGTCCAGGAAGGAGCCATGTCTTGGGATGAGACATGTGTGGGAGAGGCCAAAGAACAAAAAACCAAACTCACTGCCAGTGTGTCAATTCTGACTTATAGCAACCCCCATTGGGTTTCCAAGGCAGTAAATATTTACAGAAGTAGATTGCCCCATCTTCTTTCCACAAAGCATCTGGTGGGCTTGAGCCACTAGCCTTCTGGTTAGCAGTCAGATGCCTTAGGCACTGCACTACCAGATATGCCTGAAGAATGTGTGCTGGGATGTCAGTGTTGAAGACATAATGAGAAGCATCTCAGTGTTTTGTGAGGGGAGCAGAAGAGTGGAGGTCATTGGGAGTGTTTATGACAATGTGTGTGGGAAGCACAAATGCAAAATGACTTCCATGCTCAGCTGCTGACAGAAAGGTTGGAGGCTTGAGCCACCCCTGCACATGCCTATGGAGAGAAGATGCCTGACACATTAAGTGTCTCTGCTCTCTGAGATATTATCAGTTCCATGTTATGGATAAGGAAACTGAGGCTCAGAACAGCTACATGATTTGCCCAAGGTCATACCGTTGGGCCATTACTGTTGGGGTTATTAGTACTCTTTCTGCTGAAAGTATCTGAGAAACCACCTCACACTGGTTTAGATGATGAGGGGATTTATTGGTTATCCAGGGACAGGGCAGCTCCGTGGGAAGCTGCAGAAGTTCCAGGTGCCCTCTAATAATAAATAATAATTATGGAGCCCTTCTGCCATGCCAGGCACTGTGTACAGTACTTCACGGGTATTAACTCTTCTTATTGTCACAAGAACATTAACTAGGTACTGTAATTATCCCTTGAGTTCTGTGTGGTGCAAACAGCTAATGGCACTTGGCTGCTTACCAAGCTTGGCAGTTTGAATGTACCCAGAGGTGCCTCAGAAGAAAGGTCTGGTGGTCCACTCCTGGAAACCAGCCACTGAAAACCTACAGAGCACAGCTCTACTCTGGCACACACTCAGTCATCGTGACTGAGATAGACTCAATAGTAACTAGAATACTTTTCCCTATTTTAAAGATAGGGCATCGAGTCTCAGAGTTTCCTTCCCAATAAGTGAGGCTGGGATTTGAACCCAGGGAGTCTTGCTTCAGAACCCAAGCTATAACCACAAATCCACCTCACATGTCCATTACTATGCCTTCTAGAGAAAGGAAATACCTCTATCCCATAATTCCCCACAAACATCCTAAGATTAATTCTGATTGGATTGGCTTAGTCTGCATGCACCCCTCTGACCTGATTGGTGGAATGTGCTGATTGACTTAGGCTGGGTTATGTGCAGTGGTGGAACCAGCTTCCCAAATTCTCAAGAGAGTGGTGTGGATATAACCTGCATGCTCCCATCATCAGCACAGTCCTTACCCACTAGAAACTCAGAACTCGACTTTCTTACCTGGCCAGATCCTGGCAAAGGTGCCTTGACCTCAACTCTGATGTCTAGATCACTTTTCTGAGGCAGACTGCTACTCTGGGACCCTGTATCACCCCAAGCTCAGACTGCTCCAGTGACTACCCTGCTCTGGGTCTACTTGTCACTGCCCATTTGATATAACCTTAGTGTTGCTCGGACACTTTTTGCTTTACACAGAAAGCAGGACTTGATTTTTCTCATGTATCATTATCTCGTGATCATTTCCCTTGGTCACTCAAGTATTTTAGAAAACATTAACCACAGCAGCAGAGGAAGAAGGAGAGTCAGGAATAGGAGGAGGCTATGGAATGTGACTGCTAACCAGAAGGCTGGCGGTTCAAACCCACCAGCCACTCCTCGGAAGTAAGGTTGGGCAATCCTACTTCTGTAGTGATACTGCCTCGGAAACCCAAGGAGAGGTCGCTATTAGTCAGGGCTGACTCCACGGCATATAACAACAACAACAACATGGAATGTGTGGCTAATTGCCATGAACAACTGCCCTCTTCGCCATGAGACCAGAAGAACTGGCTGGTGCCTGGCTAAAAGTACTGAACATTTTGATCAAATTCTATAGAAGAATCCTGATCAAAAGGGGAAAATGCAAACCAATTTTCATGGAATTCCATTTTTCTGAGTCATGGAGACTAGACGAGCCCAAGAAACTATTGCCCTGAGATAATCTTTAAACCTTAAACCAAAAATATCCCCTGAAGACATCTTAAAACCAAACAATAACCAACGGTCCACAGTATTCTCAACAGAGAGAGATAGAAGCATTCCCCTTGAGAATGGGATTGAGGCAAAGATGCCCATTATCACCACTGTTATTCAATATTGTACTGGAAGTCCTAGTCAGAGCAATAAAGCAAGAAAGGGAAAGAGAGGCCATCTAAATTGGTAGGGAAGAAGTAAAACTATTCCTGTTCACAGAAGACATGACCCTATACATAGAAAATCCCAAAGATTCCACAAGAATGTTACTGGAACTAGTAGAAGAGTTCAGCAAAGTGTCAGGGGACAAGCCAACATACAAATATTAACATTATCTAGGTGGCCTTAACTTATTGTTGTTAAGTGCCATCAACTTGATCTCCACTCATAATAACCATGTGACAGAGTAGAACTGCCCCATAGGATTTCCTAGACTGTGATCTTTACAGGAGCAGATTGCCAGGTCTTTTTCCTTTGGAGCAGCTGGCTGAGTTCGAATCTATGACCTTTTGTTTAGAGCCAACTAGTACTTCTGTAGTGATACTGCCTCGGAAACCCAAGGAAGGGTCGCTATGAGTCGGGGCTGACTCAACGGCAAATAACAACAACAACAACAAGTATATGTGAAAGTGTCTCCACTGCTCTTGCCTTCTGAGTTACCACCAGCTCCTGCTCCCAACACTCATTTTTTTTTTTTTTTTTTGTTCTGATCATCTGCAACCACAACTAACTCACCACTCACCGTTTTTTTGTTCTGAGCCCAGAATTCTTGTCCTTGCCAGAAAGACCTACAGAAATGTATCCAGATACACTTGATTTTCTCCTCAAGGGAGAGACCTACTGTAATTATAACTGAAGGCCTCTGGAGGAAGGGAGTGGAAAGATGAAAGTTGAAGTTGAGTGTTCTGTTACTTAATAGTTTTGTGACTTTGGGGAAGTTTCGCAATGTCCTTGGGTCAGAGCCAGCTCATCTGAAATATTCAGATATTCATAATACCCTCTATTAGCAGTAAAACACAATAGGATTGGATGACAACATCTTTTGAAATCTTCTAACTCTGTTGTTGTTGTATATGCCGTCGAGTCAGATCCAACTCATAGTGACCCCTCCTTGGGTTTCTGAGGCAGTATCTCTACGGAAGTAGATTGCTTCATCTTCCTTCCGAGGAGTGGCTGGTGGGTTTGAACCGCCAGCCTTCTGGTTAGCAGTCAAGTGCCTTAGGCACTATGCAACTCTAACATCCTCTAATTCTAAAGACAAGACAAGGACAACAGCTTCTATTTCCTGTGTAACAATGCAAAGCACAATACACATTATTTAAGCATTGCATCATCCCTGTGATGGATTATTATTGTCATCTTCATTTTGCAGATGGGGAAACTGAGGCTCAAAGAGGCTATGCAATGCCCAAGATCACATAGCCAGTAGTCAGTAAAGCTGAGATTTGAACTCAGATCTTGTTAGTGCTAGTGCCCAAGCACACAAGATTAGGCTATTCTGCTGGCAGCAAGATGGGCCCAGCAAATGATCCAGGATGCAGCAGTAAGTCTGGGAAAATGTCTATTTTACCCCCATTGTTTTCCTCTGTCACTTTGGGCTAGAAGCCAGCCTTTCCTGTCAACTCTAGGGCTGGGTCTTCACACCTCATTACCTTCCCTCCAGTACTCATTCACAGGCAAGTCACCTGGCAGCTGCAGGGTGTTTAGCTGGACCTTAGAGAAGCCACTTTCACCTCTGGGCCATGATGGGGTGGCTGCTGCTGCTGCGTCTCCTCTTTTTCTCCTCCTCTTCTTCACCACGGGCTCACTTCCCTAGGTAATAGACAGAAAAATAGTAAGGAGCTTGGAGGGTGCAGTCACCTCCCTGCCCTCTTTCTACACTCTTGAGGGAGGAAGACTGCAAGGTTGAAGTGAGAGAAAGTCCAGAGTAGGGGGTAGCGTGAAGTGCTGAGTAAATGATATCTGGGAGGAAAAAGAGAACTCATTCTAGTCTTGAGACCTCTGCCAGGAGCAGTGCCACGTGCTGAGATGAATGTGACACAGCACCGCCCTGCCCCAGCCAAGCTCACACCTGGTAAGGGAGATAGACAGTTAGTTATTCAACAGATTATTGAGCACCTATTATATGTAATCACCACCCATCTGTCAATTTGTCATACTGTGGTGGCTTATGTGAAGCTATGATGCTAGAAGCTATGCCTTCTGTATTTCAAATGCCAGCAGGGTGACCCAGGCCACCATGTTTCAGTAGCACATCCAGACTAAAATAGACTAGGAAGAAAGACCTGGCAATCTCCTTCTAAAAGTCACCAATGAAAACCCTATGGATCACAACAGAATACTAGTTCCCATATCATGTGTCAAGATGAGCCTCCTAGGTTGGAAGCCATTCAAAATACATAGTGGCCACAGTGGACTCGAGCGTGCCAATAATCATGAAGATGGCACAGAACTGGGTGGCATTTCGTTCTGTTGTACACGGAGCTGCCATGGGTTGGAGCCCACTGTACAGCAACAAGTATATGTCTATTATTTTTGTAGGTGCTAGGGGTAGGGCTGTGAGCAATACAGACAAAACTCCTTGTCCTTGGAGAGCTGACATTCCAGCATAGGAGACAGATAATACATCGGCATATAAGTAAAACTTATATCCCAGTTGACAGGCATCTGGAGAATAAGAAAATAAGGAAGGGACTTAGTGGCTTAGGGAATGGTGGTGGTGTGGGAAGAGGTTACAGGCTTAAATAGGGCCCTAGGGAAGACCTTACTAACAAAGTGAAGTTTAGGCAAAGTAAAGGAGCAAGGCAAGAAAGTAGCTGGGGGAAGAGCATTTTGGGTGGAGGTAACAGCCAGAGCACAGGTCTAGAAGTGTAAATGTGCCTGGCATTTTCAAGGAATAGCAAAGAGGAGTGAGGGAGAGAGGAAATAGTAGGAGAGGGGATTGGAGAGAGACAAGAAATAGAGGATTACAGTATCCTCTCTTATTCCACAATTATGCATTGAGCCATCTCCTATGTGCACGGAGTTTAGTTCTAAGGGCCAAGAATTACAGAAGTGAATGAGATAGCCAGAGATCCTGTGCCCTCTTGGAACTGAGGTTTTAGCAGAGGGAGACAGATAATTTTTTTTTTTTAAGCAAACATAATAATTTCAGAAAGCCATAGTGTTATGAACATACTATGTTATGAACATAGTAAAGCAAGGTGGTGGGGATTTGATCTAGCTAGGTGTTCCTAAAGGGCTCAAACTGAGGCAGGAGATGGAGGCAGCCAGGCAGAGACCAGAGAGCAAGGTGTTCTGTGCAGAGGGACCAGCAGGTGCAAATGCTCCCGGGGCCAGGCCAGCTTGGTGGACGCTTCCAGCAGTGGGGACTGTGGCTTGTGTGTGTGTTTTGGGGAGGGGGACATGAGATCTAGTGAGAGGCAGGAAGCCCCAGAAATTGCAGGCCCTGCAGCAGGCCAGATAAAGCGTTTTGACTTCTAAATGCCGGGGGAAGTCCTTGGAGGTTTTGAAGCAGAGGTGGGGAAGTGGGGGGGCGGTGTTATATGATGGGATTTACCTTTAAAATAAGGACTCCTATAGCTACTCTGGGAGCTTTGGTGGCGTAGTGCCTAAAACATTTGACTGCTAACCACAAGGCTGGAGGTTCAAACTCACCAGCCACTCCTCGGAAGGAAGGAAGGTTGGGCAATCTACTTCTGTAGAGATACTGACTTGGAAACCCAAGGAGGGGTTGCTATGAGTCTGATTTGACTCAATGGTAGTGCGTTTGTTTTTTTCTAGCCCTAGTGACAAAACACATAAGCAGCTCAGCTGCTAACTGAAAGACTGGCGATTTTAACCCATTCAGTCATTCCTCAGGAGAAACAATTCCAGTAAATTTTACAGCCTAGAAAGTCCTATGGGGCAGTTCTACTGTGTCACATGGGGTCACTGTGAGTGGGACAGCACCTAACAACATCAGCAATAGTCATTCTGGGAAGAATTGATGGGGAGCTTGGGGGGTGGGCATGAGAAAGGGGAAAATGAGTGTGTTAGTGGCAAGAGTAGAAGTGGGGAGGCCAGGAAAAGTCTACTGCCAATCCCAGTCCTCTCTTCCTTGTTCACAACACTAGACTCTGACATGTCTTAAGAAGTTAGGAGGTCATGGAGAGAAAAAAAAGATATGCTGCTCACATGACTAAACTGGTTACAAGCCATGGAGAATTAGCTGCCCTGATGAGAATGTGGTCACTGGTAGAGGCCAGTGCTATCAGAATCGAGTGAAATTTTGGGGGAGAAAAGTACTTTGAGTTTGTAGTTAGTCTCTGCCTCTGCTATGGTGAAAGGAGGTAGGCCCCTGATTCTGAAAAGCAACAGAAATTGAGAGTCTACAGTAGCATTGCCCCCAAAAAAGTAAAATGTAAGTTACATGTGTAATTCAAAAATTTCTAATGGCCTTCTTAAAAAAAAAAAAAAAAAAGTAGAAAGAAATACCTGGAGTCAATTTAGGTAATATTTATTTAATCCATTATATATAAAAACTATCATTTCAACACATCTTTCTAGATCTATTAGATATTCTGCTATAAAAGCAGAGGTATTTCTAGCTTTAAATGCATGAAAAATTCCTAATGCTGGACGCTGTAGACCTCTACTCTCTAATATAGTAGCAACTAACCAGCCGCATGTGCATGTTGAGTACTTAAAGTGTGACACATCTAAATTGAAATAAGTGTAAAATACAAACTGGATAGCAAAGACTTATTATAGAAAAAAAAAAGAAAATACATCACAAATAATTTTTTGTGTTGGTAAGTTTTGATGCCAGGCAAAGAATATGAGTGTGTGTGTGTATGTATCTCTGAAAATTTGAAGGGCAAGGAGGACAACCCAGGGAGGTGTAACTGTTCTCCAGAAGTGGAGAGACTTGCAGCCCAGCAGGTCCTGCTTCACAACCTTATCTCCAGTCTCCAGTTTGTCCAACCACATCTTCCCTTTTTCCTCTGGCCTGATGGCTGGGATAGAGTCTTGATGTTACATCAAGAAGATACCACCTCAGCAAGAACATCCAGGAGCCTGATGAAGGTTTGCAGGAGGGGCTTTAATTGTCAAGAACCCAATCAGAAAACAGAGGTGCTGGTCAAGGGGGTAAAGGTGGAGAGAGGTGGTCCAGGGTCAAGTGTTCTGGGGCACACTGGGTTCGGTGCAGGGGTGGGTGAGTGGTCTCACTGCGTGGAGCGTCCAACATCATGGCAGATACCAAAGTTGGTGTTGATGATGGCTCCCACAATGGTCTTGTCAGCTTCGCAGGTCAGGCCCCGCTCACAGGGACACTTGTAGTAAACCCCATAGAGCGTCTGTAGAAACATAGAGTCAACAGAGTCATGTGATATTGGGGGCTGCTTTAAGCATCACTCGCCCCTGCCTAACCCCAAGAACCAGCAGCTAGTCTGAATGTCTTTTCAGATGGTGCTTCTACTGACCACCTCCCCAGGGGAGACCCCAGTTCTGGTCTCCATTCTGTGGCTCGCTTGATCCCTCTGAAGCCTCTATCTATCCATCCGTGAAATGGGGATAACAAATCTTTTCTCCCCTCTGTCTCACTGGTCAATTGTGAGGGTCAAGAGAGATGATGCCCTGGTAGCGTGGTGCCTAAGGTAGACTGCTAACCATAAGGCTGGCAGTTCAAACCCACTAGCCACTCCTCGAAGGAAGCCTGGGCAATCTACTTCTGTAGAGATACCACCTCAGAAACCCGTGGAGGGGTGGCTATGAGTTGGAACCAACTCGATGGCAGTGAATTTTTTTTTTTTTTTCCCCCCTCATCATCTCAACATTCAACACCAGGCCAACTCTTTTCCCAGGTCCCAGTCTCCAAGCCCCAGTGACCTCCTTCTCTGAGATAGCCCTCCTCCAGCAGCCCCTCGGTACCCACCTTGGGAGAGCACTCGCTGTTCTCGCTGGCCTTGGGCATGCAGCGGGCCAGGCTCAGCCCGGTGTCACGGTGGCAGCACTTGCTCTTGCACTGGATGCTGTTCAGGCAGAGCTCACCATCATCCTGCGTGGGGCAGCCAGTCAGTCCAGGACCCTCCCTTCCTCCCCTAGTCCCTTTGGCCATACAGACCCCTACCTTCCCATCCTCTGCCAATGTCAGTTTGTGAAGGAATTCAACCCCTGGGTCTGGCAGCCTTTCTGCCCACTGCCAGCCCATGTGAGAAATGGATACCAGGGAAGCAGTTCTAGGCTGGGGGACAGGATGCCTGGTTCTAGTTCCAGCTGCACTGCCAACGCTATGGGTGGCCCTAGACAAGTCACTGGGCCAGGGTGGGCAGTTCCCATCTGGAATGTGCATGTATGGTCCAAGAACAGGGTCTCTAAACCTTTCTGGGTTCCACATTCTTTTGAGAAGCCTATGAAAGTTGAGTACCTTCTGCCTGGAAAGATCCCTTCCCACAGCTTTCTATTTATAATTTCAGGGGGGATTCCTGGGTCCCATGTTAAGAACCTTTGAACTAGGTGGCCCTCAAAGGACTTCCCCAGTCCTCACAAGGGATGGAGAGGCTGTGTGGGACAGTGGTAAGAGCAGAATCTGAGGTCACACTGCCTGGGCTCCATGCCAGCTCCACTGCTGTTTTGCTCAGTAACTTCAAGCAGGCTGCTTAACCTCCCCCTATTTCAGCTTTCCAAGGAGCTCTGATTAAAATATTTGGCTGCTAACCAAAAGTTCAGTAGTTTGAACCCACCAGCCACTCTGTGGGAGAAAGATGAAGCAGTCTGCTTCCATAAAGATTTATAGCTTTTGAAACCCTTTAGGGCAGTTCTACTCTGTCCTACAGGGTTGCTATGAATCAAAATCAACTCAATGGCAGGTTTTTTTGTTTGTTTGTTTGTTTTTGTTTTTGTTTTAATCAGCTCTCCATCTGGAAAAGGGGTTGATAAAAATACTACCAACCTCACATGGTTATTATGGGGACTGAGTAAATATTCTGGAAGCATTTAGAATAATGACTAGCACAAAAGAAGTCTTCCATGAATATTTGACAAATTGTTTTGTCAGATTCCTCCAGGAGAGGTGATATTTAAGCCAGTTCTTCCCCCATCTCCTAGCCTGGATCAGAAGCCAGAATCCTTGGAAGCTTTTTAAACTCCTGGACCTGCTGAGTCAGAGATTCCAGGGTGAGAGGCCAGGACTCTGGATTTTTAGAAAGCCCCTCATAGCCAGGTTGGACCAGTGCTCTGAGATGCTCCAGTCTGAGCTCTTGAGGTCAGTCTTTTCTGGGGGCCCAAGGGGAAGAAGTGCAGGAAAGGGCATGGGGCAGGAAGGGAAGAGATGCCACACCTCCCGCCAGCCCCAGGTTGGGACAGCAGAGATCAAAGACCATGCTTAAAACATTCCCACCTGGGGTTCAGATGGCCCCTCCCGTGCAGACCCTCTTACCAACTGGATAATGATTCCCCTGGGGTCAGGAACCGCATAGGCCACTGCCAGGAGGGCGATCAGCAGAAAGACAAGGGCCTTCTCCATGATGAGTGGGCACAGTGCGTATGAGGAGTAACCAGCAGGTCAGGTGACAGAGGATAGTTAGGGTGGTGGGGTTATAAAAGGGGCCCTCTCCACATGTGACTTGCATTGTGCATCCTGCAGGGCTTACCGTGAGCAGAGGCACAGCTGTGGCCAGTCTGCTGTGGGGGAGGGGGAGCTCCGATAAGGCAGCTGGGCAAGCATCCAGTAGACTCTCATACGTATGTGTGTGTAGGGGGACAGAAGAGGTGACAATATTGTGTCATGGTTAAGAATGTGAATTCTTATATATAAGACCCCTTTTGGGTTTGGTTTGGTTGAGTTTCTGAGGAGGTAAATCTTTACAGAAGTAGATTGCCCAGTCTTCCTTTTGCGGAGGGTTTGAACCACCAACCTTCTGGTTAGCAGTCAAATGCCTTGGGCACTATGCCACCAGAGCTCAATATATGTATGTAAAATTTTGTTGTTGTTGTTCAGAAAATACACAGCAGAACATACACCATTTTAACAATTTCTACACGTACAGTTCAGTAGCACTGATTACATTCCTTGAGTTATGCAACCATTTCACCCTTCTTTTTTAAGTGGTTCCTCCCCCATTGTCCCCTACGTTTCCTATCTGATCTTTCAAGTTGTCAATTTGATCCCGTGTAGATTGATCTTAAAAGAATGCAGTGCTCATGGCAGACATTGTTTACCAGCTAAGCTAAACTATATTTGGTTTTAAGAAAACTTCAGGGGATATTTTTTTAGTTTTAAGATTTAAAGATTATCTTGGGGCAATAGTCTCAGGGGTTCATCTAGCCTCAGTAGCTCCAGAAAGTATAGATTCCATGAGAATTTGAAAGTCTGTTTTACATTTTCTTCCTTTTGATTAGGATTTGTTTATAGAATCTTTGATTAAAACGTTTAATAATGGCAGCTGGGCACCATTTAATTTCTTCTAGTCTCAAGGCAAAGGAGGCAGTTGTTCATGGAGGCAACTAGCCACACATTCCTTTTGCTCCTTCTGTTCCTGACTCTCCTACTTCCTTTGTTACTCTGACTGTGGAGCACTATTAACTGTGTAACTTATTAGCTGGGCAAGTTATTTCACTGTTCTGTGTCTCAGTTTCCTCATCTGTCAGCTGAGGATAATTTCACACAACCCTCATGATATATACAGTACAACTTGTGAAAGTTGGCACCTGTGTAAGGCAGAAATCTTTCAGAAAAGGAAAACTCAAATATTTTCCACTAAAATAAGTGATGGAAAAATAGTAAGACTGCTCTTTGTCAAAGGCAGAAAACTTGTGAGACCCAGAAAAGCAAGGCAGTCTTATTGAGTTCCAGCACTCGTAGGTTTCACTGTCCATCTAATGGGAGAAGCGGTGGTTCAGTGATGGAATTTTTGCCTTCTGGGGAGAGACCTGGGTTTGATTTCCAGCCAATGCATCCATTCATGGTCTCTACTGGAGACTTGTGTGTTGCTCTGATGTTGAACAGATTTCACTGGAGCTTCCAGAGTAAGATGGATTAGGAAGAAAGGCCTGGCTATGTATTTCTGAAACTCCAATGAAAAATCAATGGACTCCAAAGGTCTGATCTGCAAATGATCATGGGGATGGTGCAGGAGTGGCCAGTGTTATCATTCTGTTGTATGTGAGGTTCCCATGAGCTGGGGACCAACTTGACAGCAGCTAACAGCATATTTATAGTGCTTAGAATAGAGCTTATGTGTCCATGGTATATAAGCGTTAACTGCTATTATTGTTATTGTTCCTATCTGGTGTCCTGAGCTCCTGGGCAGGCCTGGGACTAGGGTAAGGCAACAGAGGTACCTAGAGCACAAAGCTTAAGGAGTGAGCACCTCCTTAAATTTTGTTCCCTAGGCATCTATCTCTCTTACCTCACCCTGGTCTAGGCCTTACCTTTGGCCCCACGCAAACCCTGGCATCTGGCAGTGTCAGCTCTGTGAGGAGGGGTCCTAGCTTCCTCTCTCTTCAACCTTCCTTCCAGGAACACTTAGGGGGTTCTAGGAAGGGCCTTGGGAGCTCTGGTAGCATAGTAGCTAAAGCACTTGACTGCTAACCAGAAGGCTGGCGGTTCAAACCCACCAGCCACTCCTCGGAAGGAAGGTTGGGCAATTCTACTTCTGTAGTGATACTGCCTCGGAAACCCAAGGAGGGGTCGCTATGAGTCGAGTCTGACTCAACGGCACATAACAACAACACAACAGGGAGGGCCCAGGTCCCTCAGGCTGGCTAGCTCTGCAACTCTGGGCCTGGGAGAGGAGTGTTTCATACCAGGTGCCCTTCCTCCTGTCCCCATATGAGGAGTGTGTCCCAGGAGTGATTTCAGGAGCCTTTAGCAGGTCCTATTCAAGTGACTATCTCCCCTTTCCTTTCCTCCTCACTTAATAGCTGCAATTCCAGCATAAAAGACTCATCCCTTTGGTTGAAGTTTCCATTCACCGTGCCCACCCCCACCCCAAGGCCACCTGTGAGTGTGAGCAGTCCTTAGTCTGGCTGAGAATGAGGAGACCTGGGAAGGGCACAGCTGTCCAAGTTTGCCCAGCATGGGAACAGAGCAGCATTCTCTGAAAGACTGGTCATTGCAGCCAGAGAAGCCCTCCCCCTGCTTGCTCAGCCCTGCCCCCACCTCACCCTGGGAGATGGAAGACAAGCCCCTTGCAGAGACCCCAGATGAGGTTGTCTGTGCCCAGCTGTGATCCACAGGGACCTGGCTTCAAAACAACACTGCTGCTTATTAGCTACATGACCTTGGGCAAGTTATTGGAATTTCCTAAGCTCCCTGAGCTTCATTTTCCTTGCATACTCAAGGTGGTTAATGGTCCCTGGCTTATAAACCAACCACCCAGGTCCCAGAGAGTTGCTTCTGTCTCGTGGCGACCCTATGTGTGTCAGAGCAGAACTAACTGTGCTCCATAATTTCTTTCTTTTTTTATTTTTTTTAAACTGAGGTGTGTATGTGTGTGCACGTGCACGTGCATGTGTGTATGGTGACACTATATACACCAAAACATTTGCCATCCATAGAGTTTTCAATGGCTGATTTTTCTGAAATGTTTGCCCAATCTTTCTTCCTAGGTGCCTTTGGGTGGGCTTGAAACCCCAACCTTTTGTTTAGTGCCCAGTACATTAACTGTTTGCACCACCTGGAGAATAAGGTCAGGATTTCATAAGAGAATGTATGTGGAGCTCCTGGAGAAGTACTTAGTAGGTGCTTAGCCTACTTAATACCACCTCCTCACCCTTCACCATGAGGAGAGGTCATGGTGTGGAATACAGGGGACCATCTGGAAGAACCAGCCAGGAGACCCTCAAAATGTGAGAAATATATACAGTTCCAGAAATGTGGAAATACCATTGATAAAAGAACACAATCATTTCTTACTTGTATGGAAGTCAGTGTTAAAAACCACTTTTCCCCACAAGCTCTTCCTGATCCCCCTCCTCCAGCACTCCTGTGAAGTGTCACAGGGAGGGTACATACTTTTCCTTTACACAAGTCAAGACTGGGAGGCTGGGGAAGGAGCAGGATTAGCTATTTCTGTCCTTGAACCATACTGTGAAAATATTATCAGTCCTATCTCCAGCTGGTCACAGCCAGCCTCCCAGAGGAGGGAGACTGGAGTTTTTTCCATCCAAACAGGAGAGTATAGCAAAGAGAACTTTGACCCAGTTTGTACTTCCAAACTGTAGGCAATAAATTAAACATTTTTTATACCAAAATTTCATACGGTTTAACCATTCATCTCTTAACAATATAAAGAAGGTTTTGTTTTTCCTTTCGCCACTCCAAAAAAGAAAAAAAAAATTCAAGTTCTGGTTCCTACATGCAACCATATTGCTTAATCTCAAAGGCATAATGTTGAGCCAAAAGACTACAGACAAAAGAATACAGACTATGTTTTGGGTGAACAAATACAACAGATCCTCCTCCATTCCATTTTTGGCTATCCAGCCCTCAATACAGGAGCTCTGGTGGCATAATGCCTAAGGCATTTGATTGCTAACCAGAAGGCTGGTGGTTCAAACCCACCAGCCACTCCTCGGAAGGAAGATTGGGCAATCTACCTCCTTACTGATACTGCCTTGGAAACCCAAGGAGGGGTCGCTATGAGCAGGTTCAAATTACAAATTGGGATGTGCAATAATATAATTTAAAATTTTCTCTGACTCTCTAGTTCCATTTATATGAAGTCAAGATCAGACAAAAAGTAATCTATGGTAATAAAAGCCAAAGAGTGATTGCCCTGGGAGGGATGTTGACTGTGGGGGGGTTTAGGAAAGTACTGTAGAGTCTTGGAATTGTTCTAAATCTTACCTGGGGTGGTGGTTACACATACATAAAAATTCCTCAATTGAACCCACACCTGTGGCTTCCAGCCAAACAAAAGACAGGCATATCAGCTGAACATTTACACTAGGTAGATACAGTCCTTGGAGAGAACAATCATGGGAGAATAGAAGGGCTGTGTATGCACAGGGAGACAGTTGGGGCGGGGGCAGGAGTTCATGGGAGGGAAGGACACAGGGAAGAGGTAACTATTGGGAGGAAGTGGGAGGGGAGTTGTTGCATTGTGGGAAATTGTAGTCAAAGTCATGAGACAACATGTATGTGAACTACTGTATGGAAAGTGAATTTGCTCTGTAAACTTTCACCCAAATCATAAAAAAAAAAAAAAAAAAAGTTTAAAAAAATCCTTCAAGCTATATGCTTAAGATTTGTGTCCTTCACTCTTTGTAATAGATACTATTGTTGGGTGCCATTGAGTTGATTTTGACTCATAGCAACCCTATAGGACAGAGTAGAACTACCCCATAAGGTTTCCAAGGCTGTAATCTTTACTAGAGCAGATCACCTAAGTGTAAAAAATGAGCAAAATTCTCCATGATCAAGTCCTAAAGTCCTATTCCCTGGGATAATGGGGATTAGTGGGTGTTATGTCTCTCCTGAGTGGGGCTGGTGCACAGTGGCTATAGACCTTGATTGTGGGG